GAATCAAGAATCGCTTTTATTTCGAAGAGTGAAAGAGTAGTGACGAAACATTGCTTGTATTTCGTATCGATTTAGCAAATAAGTCAGGCTGCAAAATACCCTATATGTCACGTGTGCCCTTATTAGTCGTAATATCACACGAAACACAACATAGAAAAACTAACTTCGCGACACTAACATCATTACTCTTTGCTCGTCATGTTTCAGGCCAAAGACAAAGGCATTCCATCTATGAACAGCACTACAACAGTTGAAGTACTGGTCATCGATACTAATGACAACCCACCAGTGTTTACGAAACCCGTGTACACTGCGTCAGTACCAGAGAACGCTTTCGGAGGATTTCAGGTATATCATAAAACGCTTTACATTGTATTAGGATTTCACTGCCTTAATGCTTTTTAGTTTCACTATCCAGTTGGTTTTAGAATTTAGAACATTTACTTGAGTGGGAAAACGGGAGAAAAATCATCTTTTCTTATCGGAATAAATTTCCGGGCGTTAAATTTTGGGAATCGTGTATAAAGGAATCGCTATTAATGCATGACTCTTTTACTTTTTTAGTATTAGATATATTTTTCTGTGCAAAAGTGAGTTTGAGATATTTTGTCGCCTTTAAAAGGTAATACGAGTTACAGCGCTGGACGCTGACGAAGGAAACAATGCTGCTGTTACTTACAATATCATAGACGGCGCAGACGGAAAGTTCATCATTGAAGGTCAGATACGGCAATATATCTTGATGATTTTAATGAGTGAATGGGGGTTGATCTGACCCTGCTAATTTTAAAGGAGCTACGTCTCGGTTTGCACATCTTAAAAAGTTTAGCCCAAACTGTTCAAGTTCGTCGTTTGTAATCCGTGTCAATCTCCTCCATCCTTAACCATCCTTGTTCCTTTGTGGTTTATTAGTATCTCTTTGCTGTGTGCCTATCTTAGTAAACTATCATTTTACGTTTACCTTCAGTTTAAAGATAATTTTGTACGTGGCTAAAACAACTCAAAATACCTTGACAGAGCTCCTTTAAAAGGTTCAACCAGGCGATCTTTCGCCCGTTTACCATTACTTTGTGTTTTCAGGATCTTCTGGCATTGTTCGTCCTTCTAGCCGTCTTGACTACGAATCGATGGCGGACAAGTTTTACATTCTAAATATTTCTGCAACTGACAATGGCCATCCGCAGTTTACGTCGTATACTGTCCTTAATATCACCGTCACAGACTTTAACGACAATCAACCTAAATTCTCACAAAATTCCTACAACCTGGGCGTGTCCGAGGATGCTACGGTAGACACTTACTTTGATCAAATCATTGCGACTGACGAAGACGCTGGAGAAAACGCAAAGGTAATGAATGGTCTTTTAAAATGTTTTGCTGAAATTCTACGCAAATTATTTGTCTATATTTCAGCTTTATCAACAATTAAAGCCACGGAGTCTTTTATGAAACGCTCTTTATTCTTTCCTTAGATAACATATTCCCTGAAAGAAGATGAAGGTATATTTTTCATCTCGCCTGAAACGGGGAAGTTAAAGATCCTGCGGGAACTAGACCGAGAGACAAAGGACAGTTACCGAATCACCGTCATAGCCAGTGATAATGGCGCCCATAGGCTTTCGTCTCAAGTGGAGGTAACATTAAGCTCCCCAGATCGATCAGTTATTTAACATGAAACGTAACTAAGACACTGATCTGATGGCAAACAAACCATGCTATTCTAATCATAAATGAACTTCCACGAGTGGTAATATAAGTCCACCTCTCACCTCAAACTATACGAAAAACAAACGCAACCGACAACCGGCATAATGCCGTTAAAACAACAGAAACGGGCGATATCTGAAAATGACTTACGTTGCCGTTAGTTATGGGTTTCTTTAAAGTGGTACTATGATCAAATTTTTCTTCCTTGATTTTTTAGGTGTATCACATAGAATTCCATGAAAGATTAAAAACGCCGTTTACCGTTTGCAAAATCTGCATTAGTTCCGGAGATTTTTAAGTTTGAAAAATGTGTAAAATATGCAAATGAGATGACTGATGACGTCATGCACTCAACCCAACTTTGTATCAAGTATATAAATAGAGCTATCTTGGTAAATTTGCAGCGCAGACCGTTGAAACTTGGTAGGCTAATAGTTCTACAGGAAACACACCTACCGTTATAAAAAATTCTGTTCCCATGGCAACTCACTCTCTTCCAGTCCCCACCCACTTGATTTCAATATGTTAGTGATTTTCAGCTCGCAAAACATTACACGAGGCCACAAACTTGAGCTAACATATTTATATGCTTGCTGGATCAAGCATATGAGGCACCATTTGCAAATATCAAAATGGAACACCAAAGGTGGCCAGAAATGCCTTTAATATTGGGGAGGTCTGGAACCCAGTATGTTGCCATGGTAACCAAAATGTTAAGCTCATATTGTGGAGCACATTTAGTAGAATCTTACTGGAAAGAATCAAACATTTCTGATTCAAATTGGCTGAGATATCTTTTTTCATCATCTTTGATGAAAATTTGGTTGAGTGTATGACGTCATCACTGGCCTAATTTGCATATTTTAAAAACTTGAATATCTCTGGAACGAAAAGAGATATTTTAATATAGTAAACAGCATTTTTCTTCTCACACAGGCTACTTAGGCTATTTATGTTTTAAAATGGCTGCGATAGGAAAGATGCGATTTTCGTCATAGTACCACTTTAAGCCTCGGAAGGTTCTTAAGTCACAGTTACCTTTCATGCTGACCAACACGGCACTGAGTATAATATAATTCTGAAACTTCGGTGCCACTACATCAAATATTGTAAATCTCCTCTAATTACTTGCCTCTGTTCTCGTCAAGTTTTAAACTCTGCGCGAGCTTTCTTACTATCCCTTTAAGTATTTAATGTACTTTTTTCATTGTTTTCAAAAGAAAATTTTTGTTTTTTTCTAAATACTCGAAGGTCTTTATCCAAGTTTTTGACGTAAACGACAATTCGCCTGAGTTTACTCGCGATTTGTACGCGCGGAAGCTGGTTGAAAACGTTGCTGTTGATACAGTGGTGCAAGTGGTGCAAGCCAATGATGCCGACGTCGGCAAAAATGGTCACGTGCGGTACAATATTACGTCGGGAAATGAAGCTGGTAATGTATCTGTAAAACTGTAAACTATTACTAGTATATTACACTGAGAATTTAGCTGAGATCAAATAATCAATGAACTTGGCTATAGCTGGAGATA